CAATGAAATTGTGATGAAAAGCTGAGTTGGGGCGAAATGGACGTCCCGGTAGCGTAACTGTAGCACACTTGACCGGAAAGCGAAAGGTGCGGGTTTGAGTCCCGCCGTGGTGCGGTAATTTTACTCACAACCCAACACTTTTGGGAGCCTCTGCTGGAGGTTATAGCTGCCTTAAGGACTTCAACTCTCACTCTTGACAGCGCCATAAAATCAACATCAGGGCACTCTGGGTCTCGTCTTGCTCGCCTTTATGTATTCTCTTCGTTCGTCGTCTTCTCCACTAACAGTAAGCGCCTGGTCTTCGTTTACCGCAACCTCGATCAGCGCTCCAAAGTGTAGCGAAAAACAAGAGCCTTATTTTGATGCCCTCCTTTGCCTTGTTCCTTACGTTCGACCAATAAAAACCCGCCATTCAAACTTTGGACCCTACCACCCATTGTAAACCCGGAATTGAACTCTAATCTCACATCGAAAAATCGGAAAAGTTTACTTTAGGTCATTGTCTCCCGTTTGTTTTGAGGGCCTTCCCGCGTACAAGTGTCCGAAGCAAGTTCATGACTCATTCATGGCGGTGCATAACGACAAGGTTTCTCATTCACTGCATTATCCTATCTGAACGTCGGTCCAATGGCGATTTCACATGAAAGGGTCTGAAAGAGGAGGGCTAAAACGTGATGACAGAACAAATGACGTCGACGATTACAAGACCGACGAGCCTCGTAATAGACAATACAGGGTGGCTACTAAATATTGGCGCATGGTTTATTGATCATATTTCCAAAAAGAGAAGCTATCATATCTTCAGAAGTTTATTTTCATATACAATAAAACATGAAAATTCATTACCAAAGAAAGTGCTCGAGATGGCCTCCTTTGGTAGCGATACAGGCTTGAAGTCTTTTCAACTGACATCACCGTGGGCCGCAAGTAGCTGACGTCGGCGTGACGTGAGTAGATCTTCAGACCAGAAGTGGCGCACGATTTGCAAAACGACAGGCAGTTGTTGGATCTGGCTAGCAGACATTCTGCTCGACTTGTGTACACATAAGGAACAGGAACTACCTTCTGAAACCATGACACCTGCTTGTCTTTGTGGATGAATACATCAAAGCCAGCGCCCAGATCTACCCGGAAACAATTTTCACGTGATGCCCTTCTTCCAAGGACTCTTTTGACCTTCAGCGAACGTCATTGCATTCTTCAGCAAGACAGGGCGCCTCCACATGCCGCAAAATCAATGTTGGAGAACTGTGACCGTCATTTTCCAAGTTACCGCACAAAATGTTTGGCCATCTAAGTCGCCCGATTTGAACCAATTGATTTGGCGGTGTGGGGCTTCTTGAAGCAGAAGATGCCTTCTGAGCAACGTCGAAGTTTGGACTCCCTGAAGGCTTCCTTGGAGGAGGCGTGGAAGGAGCTTGACGTCAGCTACTTGCGGCCCACAGTGATGTCAGTTGAGAAGAGATTTGAAGCCTGTATCGCTGCCGAAGAAGGCCATTTCGAGCACTTTCTTCAGCAATGTACTGCCATGTTATAAGGTATATAAAGATAAACCTCTGAAGATGTAAAAGCTTCTCGTTTTAAAAATATGGTCAACAATCCATGCGCCAATATTAGGCCTACCCGTATAAGGAATATATTCGTGTAGCAGTGGCAGTAGGAACCTGATTGAGCAGACAAGAAAAACACTGACACAGACCCTCATTCGGCACTTGCAGTTGAAAATATGTTCAACAATCCATGCGCCAGTATTTAGTGGCCACCCTGTATAGGAAGAATATTCGTGTAGCAGTGGGCATGTAGAAACGCTGATGAGCAGAAAGAAAACAATGACACAGACCCCATTCGGAACTGCAATTGTACGGGAACCTATATGATTTCATGATCAACATTACAGAAAACAACTAGCCTTTTCATAGTCCCCAGCCTTCTCATGCAAAAGCACTGCTTCATTCCACTGAGCCTTCGATTCCATTACTGCAGCATAGAGTGAGCACAAATCCTGAAATAGTTATTCAGCCTGGTTCTCTTTGCCAGGAAAAAACTTCCCAGATTTCAGTTCACAATAGATTGCCAAAATGCTCTAACCATAAGATAAGGTTGAAACCAATAAGGCAAGAAATGTGGGGAATCCTGCTCACCTTATATTTTGATGATTCCTTGTAAAAAATCATAGCAGTTGAATATAGATTTTTCTCACGGATAAATTCCACAGCTTCGTCCCACTTGTCGTCAATGTAGGACAAGTGCATCAGGGCCGACTTCCAGTCTGACCGGAACAGATCTATTCGATACTTCCGATAATTCTCAGGTTCTACCTAAAACGGAGACCAGATAGAACTCTTCTTGGAATAGGATTTGTTCGAAATTGTACACAATTTCATCAGGATGAGTCAGGCAGATCCTCATATCTCGGACCTCCACGTTGATAGAAACAATAGAAACAAAAATTGAGGCCAGATATAGAAATCACACATACTAGAAGAAAAGTCCCATATATTCAATTTTGCGGCTACTTGTAAAAAAATTGTCCTTCGAAATAAACCACAACCACACGATCTACCGCAGTCATATTCAGCGACTAAGACGGCACCGAAAATGAGGAAGCCTCAGCGTGAAGCACGCAGAAGCTGTTCCAAATATATGACCAAGCCATCCTCTTTTCATTCTCCGTCCCTTATGAATAAAAGCTATCCTTAATATTTTTTTCAGCTGCCTGCCTTCACGTAATATCTAGCCTTAGTAAGATTTCAAAACGACTTTACGACAGCCCGACGGACCACAAGAGGTAGAAGTAATTAAAATACACACCTTCCGAAGTTCATTGAGTAGAGGTAGGTACTCCTTCGGATCACGGTTCGATACTTCAGCAACCTACAATCCCGAAAAATGTATCCAAATTAACAAATTATTCAAAACTGTAAAAATGATTTAGGACAAAAATATCGAATAACCTTTACAAAACTATTAATTTATGATTAAACAAGCACTTTTATCACGACTGCATGAGTGAGCCCCTATATTTATCACCAGTTCACCTGCAACCATTAACGAGTGTTTCACACACGACTTTGGCCATGTGGAAATAGCCGACTCAAATGCTTGACTTCAGACGTGCCTACTTCGACGCACGTACGTATCGCACATTACGAGCATTAAAATTCTTTTTCTTTGCTGTCTCCACTTTTTCTGACCTTCAGGCTGCACCAAAACCTTATTATGAACTTGTGATCTTAGTCCCGCCAATTTTGGTGCATGTCCCACCCAATGTGGGCCGGCGGAGCTTATCTATCTAATTTGAGGTCCATAAATCCTTATTTCAAGTTACCCACACTCCATACCTGGCCCGTATCACTTTACAGGTTTTACCGAATTTCGGGTGACAAAGTAAGCATAATATAATAGAATCGCAGTCAGTAGAGTTTTTGGTCCTTTTAGGCTGGTGTCAGAGTCCGCGATCCGTCGCAGGTTTCGCTGATTTCGCGATTTTCGCGATTTGCGCGACGGGTCACGGAAATCACAAGTGCCCGATCAATACTGCAAGGTGTTCTCCAATCCCGCCGCCACTTCTGCTTGATAGTGATGGCTGAATGACGACTGCTCATGATTCCACTTGTTTCATATTCAGTGTTTCAATTGTTCAAATGGGGCACTTGCAATTTTTGCGATCCGAATCATGAGCATTTCAATGAACTGATAGACATTGAACATGAAACAAGTAGAATCACGAACAGTCGTCTTTCAATCTTCACTGTCAAGCAGAATTCGCAGCAGGATTAACACGCTGACGCAGTATCAC